CAGAGTCACCTGACCGCATACTAGGATGGGGCTCCCTGGGGAAGGTCTGGGACCCATGGACTCAGCCTTGACCCAAACAACAGGTTGTGATCCAGGACACCCAATCCATTAGTCTAGGGCCAGAACTGATTTAGCTAGAGGACTAGATTTCACAGCCATTACTGGAGCATAAGCCTTGCCAATCTTCTCCTGCCATAGCCCAACCTTCAGGCCAGTTTAGCGGTTTTCCTCTGTTTTTAGGTTGCTAAGATTTTTAATTCTTATTTTTGTTGTAGGTCATGGAGCCCAGGCCCTTGCCTGATCTAGGCAAGTGCTCTACCACTGAAGTACATGCCAGTCCTAGATCATTTGCATTTTTAGATCACGATTGAATGTTGAAATGTATCAATCACATTCACTTTCTATTGAAACATGTGAATGATGTGTCTTCTAGTTTGTCAAAGTAGAGAATTAAACAGCTATTTTTTCCTCCTAGAAAGAAACCAAGTTTGTATTCCTGAAATCAGTCCAACTAGCATACAAAATAATATCCTTTCCACATAAAAGGAAAAAAGAGAGGAATAGATCCAGAGGCCCCAGGAGTACAGATAGATTAACCAAAACTAGAGGTGGGTCTTGAACACACTCTACCAACTCTTGAGTTTGGGTCTGTGCCCAAAAGCCTTCCCAAGACTCCAGGGCAAGGAAACTTCAGATGGAGACGTGGGAGGAGGGACGATGGAGATGACAGGAGAGTCATTCAGGAGACAGAAGTAGAGGGACTGGTATGCAGGGTGAGGGTGAGGCTGATGTCTCAGGGGGAGAGTTGGAGAGTGACGAGGAGCGGGCATTGGTTCAGACGTTGAGTTCATTTGCAGTCATGGTAAGTCCTTGTTGTAAGGTTCTGGCAAGGGGCTAGATGGTCCAGCCCACAGCTCAGCTGTTTTGAAAAGTCCAGGATCATTCTTAGAAAATCCTACTCCAGTTCCAAGGACCACTGCAGCTTGGATGTCATTAAAGCCATCACTCCCCTGCTTCAGAGTCCTCACTCCAGTTATGATCACTCCAGGTCCTTAGAGGAGTAACCACAGTGAACTCTGGGAAACTCTAGATGGCCCTGCCCACTGCAGTCACTCCTTACTATGGAATAGGCATACACCCCAATAATGAACTCCAGCCAAACACTCTGAGGAAGAGTTTGGGTCCTCTGCATTGTCTTATTTTCACCTCCCTCTGCCCCTCCTCATTGGGGCTCAGCATCAACACTTGGACATTTGAATACGTTTTCCTTTGTCTTGTGAGCAGCAAGCGATCGGCTTCTCTCATTTCTTTTGTTACCAGCTATCTTAAAAGAGACACACAACTCTCTGTTCCCACTTTCTCAACTTCTATCTCTTCTCTCTGCCGCTAACTTCTGTCCCAGCCACACCCTTAAAATGGCTGCAGATGAATATAGGGTTCCCTCTCTCCTTACCTCTCAGCAATTACCACCTTGAGACACCATCCACATCTGCCCAGTGACTAAGCAAAAACCTGTGATGGCTGCAAGCAAGGCTTACGATGGTTGCTTATTTAAGGCTTATGGATGGCGGAAGTGGGCACCATGTGTTCAAAAGGCTATTAAGTAATTGGTGGAATTATGACGGGAGAACAAGCAAGCCAGCCTCCCTCTCTAGCCATGTCAACAGGGCATAGATCCTCAGCAGATGTTAGAAAGTAGCTGAGCCATTTCAGAGAGGGACCAGGGACAAACCTCAGAAGGCTGAGATCCATGGCAGCCCCTGGAGCTCTAAGCCTCTGGGCTTGTAAGCCCGGCTAGCAGCCCTCTGGTACAAGAGCTCAGTCATCACCAAGAGCATCACAGCCTTGCCTGTGTGTGATTTCCATATAAATAGAACAGAAGGATCCTCAATCTGCCCCTTGTGACAAAAAATGAGTGACTAAGCTCCCCCCTTCTTTCCAGCCTAAGGATCTGGTTTGCTCTCTGCCTCGTTACTTAACTTGCTTCTGCTTCAGCTTTGGTACCTACAAAATGAAGGTGGTGGTGGTGGTGGTGGTGGTGGTGGTGGTGGTGGTGGTGGTGGTGGTGGTCCCAAAGGGCCATGGAGACTAGAGTGCCTGAATTGTAGGAAGCATGCCATTTCCCGATATGTCTCTCCACACATTGTTCCAGCTATGTGAGCTCTCTGTGCCCCTCCCCCACGGGCCCTGTCTTTTTGGGAGTAGGATGGGGTGTAGCAAGTCTGAAGCTACTCACCAGCCTGGTGAGCATCTGGAAGCGCTGTTGGGTGGAGGAAGACAATTTAGTCCTTTGGTTCCACCTCTAACTGGGCTTTTTGGTCATTTTCTTTCAGATTCTAATAACTGTGCTCAGTCTTGTTTTTCCTGCAAAAATCTATACTTGGTCCTTGCAGCGTATGGTGCAATGACAAAGCTCCCTGTGTCACCCAGTGAGGTGAGGTGGAGGGCTTCCTCATGGTCCTAAGATTTCAGTGTGGCACCCCGCCCCCTTGTCTGGCTTTAGAAGGGAATCTACAAGGCTTGCACAGCTTGTCCTTGTTTGCCCAGCAAGCATCTGTGTGATGTGTGTGTGTGACTGTCACATGTGTCCTCTTGTCTTAGCCTTTGTGGGGATGCAGGTAGCTAACAGGTACCTGAGAAGGGAGAGGATGTATGTAAAGTGAATAAATGCATCCAAAATAAGAACAAAGGCAGTTCCTGGCATAAGTACTCATCAATGTTCCCATTCAGGGATACATTCACAATGATTCTGACTCAAATTCCAGAAGGGTCCAGTAAAAGTTTCCCAGTACTCTTAGCTCCTCCTTAATGTCAGTCAGGAGCCATCCCTTATTCAACTTAGAGCATAGTGGGTACACAGGAAACTTGAAAAGAATGAATAAATTATTCAGAACCCTGTCATTATCAGGGAAAGTACGTGCTTCTGTGCGGTGCTCACGTACAAGAGAGTGCTGGGATGCAGCTGAATATGTAGACTGTGAGCCTGGGTGTGTGTGTGTGTTGAGGGGGGGAGTAGGGTTGGTGATTACAGACCTGAAGGTATTTTCTTTAAAAGCCTGTTTAGCCAGAGCCTGTTTGTGTGCTGGGGTGTGAAACTCTATGAATGTATTATCAGCAGGGCCTTAGATGGGTTCCCGCGATTTGCTTTGGGCAGACACAGACTCCTTCTTCCCAGATTCCCTAGGGGCAGAGAGACCACGGGACCACCTGCCACTCTAATGATCCACCCCTCCACCCACGACTGATGCCAGAGATGTTTTGCTTTTTAAAGGAATAGTATCAGCTTGCTCTAAAGGTGAACTGTGGAAAACACTAGCCCCTGGTCCCAGGTGCCTACTTGCACTGCTAGAATTGTAGTTGGTCCCAATTCAAATGTGTTGTGAGTATACAATAAAACTCACCAGATATTAAAGGTTTGGTGGAACGAAAGAAAACAAGGCACCCTGCTATTAATTTTATATTGATTGCATGCTGGCACGCTAATGTTTGGAATATACTAGAGTAAAACTATCTAAAATTACACATATGGATCATATTATATTTCTACTATGGAGTCTTATTCTAAAAGATACCTTAGCCTGGGATATAATCCCAGAAAGCATGTTAAATTTAGATCTTGAAGGATCTGTAAACTTGGATACACAAGACAATGGAATTTGGCACGAAGAAAAATGCAGACATGTGAACTCACACGATATATAGGGCAAGATAATAGACCAGTTGTTCACAAACCCACCCAGCTTCCCTGTATTTTATTTAATTATTTGAGGAGTCCGGTGACAACTTCACTGTTATCTCAGTACTCTGACAAAGAAAACACTATAATGATAACTAACTATAGCATGAATTGTTAGAAGGTCTTGTTAATAAAATCAAACCTGGGGCTAGTTATTGGGGTGAATGCTGGAAGATCAGAGAAGCAGAACAAGCCACAGCCACCTCACCTTGCCACTTCCTCAGCTGATCCTGTTTCCTCAGACTGGAAGCTTCTGAGTCCTCATCCAGAATGAATCTCAGCTGAACTGCTGCTTAAAAGTCTGAAAGCTTAACCAGCTCTAGTTCCTGGTCCTCACACTTTAAATACCTTTCTGCCTCCTGCCATCACTTCCTGGGATTAAAGGCATGAGTCACCATGCTTGGCTGTTTCCAATGTGGCCTTGAACTCACAGAGATCCAGGAAGATTTCTGCCTCTGGAATGCTAGGATTAAAGGCATGTGCTACCACTGCCTAACCTCTATGTTTAATATTGTGGCTCTTCTGTTCTCTGACCCCAGATAAGTTTATTAGAGTGCACAATATTTTTGGGAACACAACACCACCACAACTAACATTGGTTGACAACTTGCTATGTGCCAAGGGCTGTGCCAAATACTTCATATACAGTATGTAAATGTATATATGTAGGCACCTAACTATCCTCAGACGGTATGCAAGACAAATCACATGGAAGTCACTGGCAATGGAAGGTGAGGGACAGGGAATAGGCACAGGTGTTGCCTCAGTTTCTTGCTTGACAAGTAAGTAACTGCTGAGCCCACATCCTGGCTGGGGATGGCAGAAGAATGAATGTGCTGGGCATCGTCATAGCAGATACCTGCCAGAATGCCTCCTGTGTGACATGTGTTCATTAAACATTGGTTTATTACCTGATCCTTCTCCTTTTCCCTTGTTTCAGTCTTGGCCCCATTACTGCTTCCCAGAAACACTCCGTCATTTATTGCTATATGCTGGACAAGCAATGATCATTAGCATCAGATGGACTTTGGTGTGGAGCCAAATGCCACTCACTGCGTAACTTAGGAAGGGAGGTGGTAATACCCACTCCTAGGGTTGTAATGGGGTTTAATGCCGTGTGGGATGCAGGGACTCTCCAGGGGGAAAGTGAATAATGAATACCAGCCAGCGCCACTGCTTAATCTTTTCATGTGATTTCCTTCTTTCTTTTACTCTATTGTTTATTTATACTTTTAAAATTTATTTTATTTATTCTTCATTACAGTGTCTTATTCTAGAGCTCAGGTTGGCTTAGTTCTTGGAATCCTTTTACATCACCCCACGGAGTACTGGAATTACAGGTATGTGCACTACACCTGGCTGTGGTTTTCTAACCCCTTAAATCTCAATTTTAAAAATTAAGGGTGTCTAGAGGCTAAGAATTGAATCGGAGCAATTTCTCCTCTAAGAGCTACCCCTGACTCCCTCAGGTTAATTCACCCCTAACTACTCTGTAAATTCCTTAGAATCTAAAAAGAGGGAATCTAGAAAAAAAGCTTAGAGGCAGTCGAGAAAAAAAAGTGTAAGGGCACCATGTGGAGAGCAACAGAGAGGGGAATAGAAGAGTACACAGGATTTGAAGGAGGAAATGGGAAAAACTTAGGGAAAGGAGATAAATACAGAAGATGGAGGGTCGACTAGCATTAAGGATGTCTGAAAAAGTCATAAAAGCATAATATTATCTATCTATCTGAAATTGTGCATAATGCATATATATTTAAATGAATTCTTCCTATCTGGGCTGACAATGGTTCCCCCAAGAGCCATAGACTGTCTAATGAAAACCCCTACACTAGGCATGAGAACCTTCTTTTGAGCTGTTAGTTAGGGTCATCCAAGCTGTCCCCAAACATATATCCTATTGCTGTTATCCTTCGTTACTTCTCAGAGGTGGAAGTTTAGTCCCTATTGTTGAAGACACCACGCACTTCGGGTACAGGGCCCCGAAACCCCTTTCCTGGAACTGATGAATACTGATTTTCATGGTATCAGAAGGTGCCGTACAAGCCTCCAAAGAAGGGAGGCAAAGAACAATCCTCCCCAGGTGTGACACCAGTGAGCCACAACAAGAACCAGCATGTGCAGTGGTGGTATGCATGCCTTGTCTGTAACCAACAGCATTGGTCTTAGGGTCTTCTCAATAAGAGGGAAACCACGCCTGATCCCTGACACCTAGTCAACTAATTGGTAGTGAAATCATGGATCTTGGAGGAGACTCTACAAGCGCTCACTTCACAAAACCAGCATAATTACTAACAACATGCTAAATATTTGCGATGATATCAAGGGACATGCTAATACGGAAGAGGGAAAACTTGTGGTGCCTCAACCCTAGACAAGGAATTATGAGCAACTGGGGAAGCCTGAAAGTGGGAGAAACGCACTTCCCCAGAGAAGAGCCCTTCCCAGTTGGTCGTCTAATACCAAGTGGCCAGTCCTGAGTCATACACACACACACACACACACACACACACACACACGTGTGTGTGTGTGTGTGTGTGTGTGTATACATGTATATGTATATATGCATATACAAAATTTGAGTGAAAGATTCCATTTATGTATTTAAGAAAATGCATGAACTGTTGACCAACAGCTGAGGAGCCCCCATGGTACTGGACTAGGCCCTCTGGATAAGTGAGACAGTTGTTTAGCTTGAACTGTTTGGGGGTCCCCAGGCAGTGGGACTGGGACCTGTCTCTAGTGCATGAGCTGGCTTTTTGGAACCTAGGGCCTGTGCTGAGACACTTTGCACAGCCTTGGTGTAGGGAGGAGGGGCTTGGACCTGCCTCAACTGAATGTACCAGGCTCTGCTGACTTCCCATGGGAGACCTTGCCTTGGAGGAGATGGGAATGGGGGTGGGTTGGGGGGGAAGGCTGGGGTTGGGAGGAGGGAGGAGAGGGGAATCTGTGGTTGGTATGTAAAATGAATAGAAAATCTCTTAATAAAAATTTATTTAAGCCGGGCGGTGGTGGCGCACGCCTTTAATCCCAGCACTCGGGAGGCAGAGCCAGGTGGATCTCTGTGAGTTCGAGGCCAGCTTGGACTACCAAGTGAGTTCCAGGAAAGGCGCAAAGCTACACAGAGAAACCCTGTCTCGAAAAACCAAAAAAAAAAAAAAAATTTATTTAAAAAAATAAAAAGGAATAATCTATCTCTATGTGGCAACTAAGGAAAGAGGAGCTGAGTTTGAGAAAGATCAGGGGATGATGCATGGGAGGACCTGGAGGGAGGAAAGAGAAGGGGGAACGATGTAATTGTATTATAATTTCAAAAATCAAAGACATTACTATAAAGAATCAAATTTTAAAAAGATATGAAGAAGCAATACCACCTTTAGAAGTGAGATCCTCATTGCTTTTAGTAGCAACCGTCATTAACTGATTGTTTTACTTACTGTGGGGTCTATCTGCAACCTGTGCTGGCAAGAAGAAAAACCTTTCTCATTGTTTATAAATTGTTAGCAAAAACCTTTATTTTTTTCCAAATGAATCTTCTAGCCTCTATTATATTCATCTGTCCTATGTCATAAAAGTCAGGGGCTGCTTGAACTGATTCTTTACTCAGAATTTTTATGTGTTAGCTATAATTAAATATTTTCTTAGGTTAGAAAAAAAGATTTTTCTTAAGCAATTTCTATAAATATTTGGAGGTCATTTTTGTCTTTGAAATTTCTATATGTCACTGAAAGTCCCAAAGTACTTGGAGAGCTACTTTGCATATACATATAGCAAATAAAAGCCAAAGCTGTATGAGCAACATAGTTCTCCAATGTGAGCTTCCCTATTCCTCTATTGTTAGTCCAGCCATTACCAACAGCTCCAGGGAAACTCAGTGAGGGAGCTGGAGAGCAGCACGTCCTGGTGCAGCCCAGCCTGTTGATAGCAGGCATGGGTTTCTATCCCAGCTCAGACATATAGGGTGAGCTGGCTGCCAGCCACCTGCCACCTCTCTCCTCTCTGGGTATCAGTATCCATGTCTAAAAGGGAGCTGAGTCAAAAGTCTCAGCTCTTGAGACCTTTCCTGGAAAATCTGAGAGACACGGGCAGTGCTATATTTCTTGTGGCTGTGTCTTCCGTGTCTAACTTGTACCAAGACATCGACGAGCATTTACAGAATAAGTGGGCACTCCCAGCTGTTTGGGCTATGACTTCCTGTGTCATAGCTACCGCCGTTCCTAAACCATCTCTCTCTTGAGAGATGAGGATTAAGAGGAATAGCAGGTGGACAGAGTTGTCCTGGGGAAGCCAAGAGGTTCTGAACATTTTTTTTTTCATCTATTGCATTCCTAGACCTTGTATACACTTGGCCTGACCCTATTTATAACACAAGATAATAAGAAGATAGATCACTTAATTCAGGTTCCTTAGTATACGGGAAAACCAGTAATAGAATATGCATACTTAGTGTCTCTTCTTGCTTAATAAATTAAGACTACTTTTTTTAGATTCCAGGGAAGGGTCCTAGCCAATGCTTAGCTAGTCATACTGGTTAAGTGATTGTCATTGGCTGCAAATACTTTTCTGATATACTTCTACCAAGTATATGTCCTATCCAGGAAGGAAAGAGAAACTGAGGCAATCTGGCAGCCTTCATTAATAAAGTCCATTTCCTCAAGTCCTTTAAGAAAACCAATGTCTGCAGACCGTTCCTGTGGCCATTGGTAGTTAATGAGCACACGGAGTCTTCTGTCTTGCAGAAGAAATCATATACATTTGAGCATTTGGACCAGGGAGGTACTCAGGATATGTGGCACTTGGGAACCAGTAAATAGTAACCAATGACCTATGGTTGAAAGCGTGCCACATCTCAAGCCCAAGGTGAAGGATGCTATCTGAAATGAGCTCTCTCTTGTATAGTCAGGATGAAAAGAGGGTCACGAGTGGGGTACTGCAGTGAGTATTTCTAACAGACAGGTACAATGGGACTTTTGAGAGCAGGTGAAACGATGCCTTGGTCCAAAGAAGAGTCACAGTCATGGTCTGACTCTTCTATGGAGTCCTTCTGGCCTCGGAACTCTTATGTCCCTCATTTCCTGTTACGCAAAGCTGAGCAGTAAGATATACAGAACATCATAAACCATACAGATTAGAGTAGTATCATCTTAATGGGCTGACCTTTGCAAAAGCGTGTGTGTGTGTGTGTGTGTGTGTGTGTGTGTGTGTGTGTGTGTGTGTGGGTGTGGGTGTGGGTGTGTGCTTATGGATTAGGCTAGACTAGAAGGCCAGTGAGCCTTAGAGATCCATCCATTTCTGCCTCCCAAGGGCTGAAGTTACAAGCACACACTGCCATACCCAACATCTTTATATGGGTTCTGGGAATCACATAGATCTTCACATTTGAGACTGAGCTATCTCCTTCCATAATTAACTTTTAATGTGCCTGGTCTTTGTCCCATTTAATCTCGTTTTCTAAAGCCCTTTCTGGGGGTTACAAGAAGGATGACTTCTCTGTCCGGTTCTCCACAGCTTCTGGTATGAGAGGACAGAGGTGACCACCCCAGCTCTAGGGTGCCAGTTTCTCCTGGCTGTAAGTGCCCAGCATGTCTGGTGGACAGTGTAGTGTCATTTTACTGAAAGCAGCTCAAAGCATTGTTAGAGAGATCCCCCTCTGGGAAGGGAAGGGCTACTGCAGAAGTTTTCCAAGCCAGTTTCTTTGGTTCTGATGAAATCCAAATCCCAGTATTGAGCATTAAATGATTGCTTAAGGGGGTGAGTATCTAAGGCTGTGAGATTTTTCCATCATTTACAATTCTGTAACTAGATTTTCAGAAAATGCTTAGATCTGCTGGAGAAAGGCAAGGTAGATTCGTAGGCTGGCGCTCTCACTAGCAACCTATACAGGGGCACTGATCCAGACTGTAGCATATGCTTTCTCGTCATTAAGTGGGAAGGATAGTCCTAGCCATGCCATATTCCATCCTAGGGTGCTCCATGAATTTGTAGCTCTTGGTCCATCTAGTTGGCAGTGCTGTTTATTCTAGTATCAAACATCAAAAGAGTATTTGGTTTCGTTCTCACAGTACAGGAACTTATTTAAGCTTTTCAGATAGCCTGCGGAGCACATTGACATCCTTTTTTCAGATAAGGTACAGAGAGGTAATGTAGCTAGAGAGTTTTCTCTCCGGGTCCCGCCAAGCCCTGGCAGTCCAACAGCCCCCTTATAAAATAAACACACAGATGCTTATATTATTTAAACTGTTTGGCCTAATGGCTCAGGCTTCTTGCTAACTGTTCTTATATCTTAAATTAACCCATTTCTATTAGTCTATAAGTTGCCATGTGGCTCGTAGCTTACCGG